ATGAGGGGTCTGGGGTGGCATCCCCCCCACCCCAGACCCGTCATAGCCCCCCCTTCCGATAGTCCGGCAAATCTGATAATCTGACACCCCCTGGGTCCTAAAGGTGCTGGATTATCGGAAGTTTACTGTATTCACAATTCATATTCAACTTGTATATTCATTTTTATGAATTCTTTTAAGACAAGATAATTGCATAAGGTAACATTTTAATTGTGTTTTAGACTTGGACTTGAAAGAGCTGATACAGCTGAAAATGCCCTCGCTGTCATGGTTGACTTGCTAGAAAAATATGGACAAGGAGGAAACTGTATGGAGAGTCAGATGGTGTTTACCTACCATAACAGTTTTCTGATAGCTGACAGAAAGGAGGCTTGGGTCCTAGAGACTTCAGGAAAATATTGGGCAGCAGAGAAAATAGAAGGTATGGGTAACGTTCTTCATTATGGTTTTAAATGATCACTGCAACAGCATTAGTATATAAAAGCTGGAACTTTCTAATTGTTTCGTGAGGATGTGGGAGATCCAGTTAGCTTCTGGGTCTAGGGTGTGCTATGCTGCTTTCATGTCACTGGCAGAAATGGGGTCTTTAAAGAAAGGATTAAGTAGGTAGAGAAGAGGTTTACTGATGAGCCCGGGGCGGTTGTACCATACATAGGGTCACAGAGATGAATGTGCCATTTAATAAAGGTGAGAACATGGTCACTGTGAAGTGTAACAAGAGAATTGCAGCATTATGTAGGGCATTAAGGGTAGTGAGAAGATATTTAAAATTTGATAGGATGGTAGGATTCAAAGAGGAGTTGGTCACATTGATGAGCAGAGAAGAGGACTCTCAACTGTTTGGATCTTTTTATATGCACTGAAGAAGAATTGTTTGGGAAGCCAGTTTAGTAGTTGAGCTAGAATATAACGAGGACCAGAACAAAACACTTGTCTGTGGGGATGGAAAGAAAAGAGTGAATATCAGAGTTGCAGAGGAGGAAGCAGCAGCAGGAGTGTGTGTGTGTGTGTGTGTCCCCAAAATTATCCCCAGGGAAATGCATTAGGTTTCATGAATAGTAAAATATAAATTCTGTTTCAGTAAGGTAAATGTAAATAAGTAAAACACTGGATAAATCCACTGCATAAAAGACTATACATGATTTCTTCCCCACTTTACAAACAGAGGGCACGCGGAATATCTCTAACCAGTTCTCCATAACAACCAAAATTGACCAGGAACATCCCAAAATGAGAGATTATGCTAAGAGCAAAGGCTGGTGGGATGGTGAAAAAGAATTTGATTTTGCTGCCATATATTCCTACGTAAATACTGCCAGAATGACAACTTCAACGGGCAGATACTGTGAAGGCTATAAGCTACTGAATAAACACAAAGGTACCCACTATTATTATTTGAATATTGTAAATCAAACAAAGTATTTAGTATGTTGTGTACATTTAATTCAAGCAATGTAAACATCTGGAGTGGTAATAAGTACAGGTTGTACCTCCCTTAATCAGGACACTCTGGTCCGGAACATTCATGGTCTGGCAGGACCACGGATGTTCCTGGACCAAAGAGTTCAGGTATAGGGAGGTCTGGCTGTGGGGCAGGAGTGCAGCAGGGAAATTTGGCCCCAACAGCTGGGAAATAGAGGGTGCCGGCAGTGACCATGCAGCTCTGGTCCTAGTGGCATCCAGGAAGCTCTGGCCCCAGCTGCACAGCTCCATCTCTGGTGGCAGTTAGGGAGTTCTGGCCCCAGCAGTGGACTGTTAGTTCCAGCCCCACCTGTGCAGCCTGGCCTTGGCAGCAGCGAGGCCAATGTGAGGCTAGAGAACTCCAGCCCAGGGACCGACCAGGTAGCAGTGGGGTGGGCTGGAGCCACAGGTGAGGCAGCAATTTAGCACAGGTAAGGAGGGGAGAGACCTCCCCTGATCCAGCAAATCTCATTCGGGACTGGCAGGTCTCGAGGGTGCCAGACAAGGTAGGTCCAACCGGTACATATATACTGGGTTAATGCAATGATTCATTTGAAGACTATATTAGAGTGATTACATTTTAAAGGCTCTCTCAATTGGGTGAGGAAAAACCATAAACAAATGTTATACATTTGTTAAGCAAGGAATTCTTTCCCCAATAATTAAGCCACACAGATAATACTAAGCAGTTTTATTAGCAATGCATTGGGGAGGGCTCGAAAGCAGCTTCCAGAGAATCATCAGGAGTACAAGTCTTATATATCAGTTGCATACGTCATGCATATCATATCTGCTACATCTAGTTTATCGGTATTTGTAGAACAAAGAAGGAATAGATCTTTACACAAGGATATGGGGCCAGGGTAAGCCGGAGGGATGGGGGGAGGTAAGGAGGGGAGAGGCTGGGGTGAACTGGTTCTGTAGATAAGGAAAGAAAGCAGAGACACAACAGCTTCTTGTAAACCTGTGAGAATCCAGGAGGGAATTAGAGTTTTAACAAACTCAGTGGAGAGTTTCAACAAAAAAACATCAAGGTCTTGTTGCAGCCAGGCTGTTATCTTAGTCAGGCAATTCGCCTTAGGGTCCAACACAGGAAAACAAGGCTTTGGCCTAACAGATTAAACATTTAATATTGCAGCAATAACTATAAGCTGACCAAATCAGGGCCATCTTGGTCTACGCTCAGCAAGGATCAATGACTGACCAATTCTGGAATGTGAGATGGGTTATTTGCCATCTATCTACTTGCCAGAAAAAAAAGCAGACTTCCAAAAATTCACTGTCACTCTTAAAAGCTTAGGTAGAGCATTGGGGGCAGGCCTATATTAGTACAGTGTGTAACTCAGCCCAACTCTATTTTATATTTCTAGTATTTTCATATTAATACAAAGTCATTTTGCCTAATCTAACTTTTTTATTTATTCATTAAAAATACAGATTAAAATGCTACTGTTAAAATTATAAAATCTAATAAAACACCTTGTCTGAAAGCAGGATAAAGGATAAAGCATTATCAGAGAATTAATTACCAACTCATTCACAACTTTTCATATTTCTGTAGAGAAACTGCTACTTCTATCCAACTGCTTTTAACTGTTACATATACCTCAAAAAAGCATCAGTATTCTTTGTTGCTTTTGAAATGATTAATCTAAACGAAAATAAAATTGCATCCCTGTGTGTTTTTTGTTTTACTGAGCTCTGTCACTCCAGCTTTAGTACTTATTCACTGCTTGCTAGTGAATTACCTATAGGTATCTTATTCTGGTGATCATGTAAATCCTGCATCCATTTTGGGAATTGCAGGTTCTGAAGATTTAATACCTGAATTATAGCAAGTGTTTAGGTTCTATCAGCATTTTTATTCTAAATCCCCATTTTCAGGCATTCACCTCAGCCATTTTTAAGTCACCCTAGGTATTCAAATGATCAGCCTGATATAGTTTCATTTCCTTCCGACTTTTTTAAATCAGTGCCTTAAAAGTTATTTAATTTAGAGCAGCAAAGACATAGTTATCATACTGGATGTTTCTAAGCATTTTCTCCCAATAGCATTAAAAAAAAAAGTCTTCTGGATTACTGTTCTTCAGTGTGTGGAGAAATTTTTAAAACAGCTATGATATTTATATTTGTAAAGTAGCTACTATGAGACTATACAGCGAACACAGGATAAACAAAACCCAGATCTAGACAAGAGAAACTTAATAAATAGTCCCTGCTGGACAAGCCGCTGACCTGCATGCAATCTTGGTTCGCAATGACCAGATATGACAACTGCCTCCTATTTTTAGTTTCCTTCATTAGTCTGTCTGGTTAACGGTGCAGAATTCTTCCTGCTGGCTTTCTCCATTCTGTTCTGCCCATACACCAAAGAAGAGTGCACATGGTTAATAAACCATGTGTAGTTCTTGAAGCATAAGATAGATTGTAACTTACATCATATACAGGGAAAGTCAACTTAAGTTCTCTCACTTAGCAGCAATCATCTTGATTGTCTTAGTTCAACTAGATTGCAAGGCCATTTAAACTAGAAATCCTAATCTACTAAAAGGTGGTATGATAAGGAGGTTTCAAGTTGCCAATATCCTTTTAAAATGGAAAAAAAAAAAAAACAGTTACTAGCGTAGCTATTTCCCTCTTTACCATAAGAATTTGCTCACCTGTTATATTGGATTTAGAGAAAACATTTCTGTATGTGCTTGTGTTAAAATCTTGGCAGTATATTACTAGATTTTCACATACACCACTACGATATATACAAACCAGAGACGGCATTTGAACATTAACTACTTAAATAATTTACTTTTAGAATTTTCATAAGAATAGCCAGTACCAACAAAGGAGTTCCATTCTCCCTGTATCAGAAAGAAAATCATTTTCACAAGGATGCTAAACTCAAATTTGCCTTATTTAGTTGTATGCTAGCTGATCAGTATTGCATAGCCCTCCACAAGTAGGTATGACAATGTGGTTCTATTCCGTTCAAGATATAAAACTGATTATTCTCCAGTGTATCATTTCAGCTGGTCATCTTGAAATATAAATTACCTGGAAAGTCAAATAGTAAGGAACAGTTTAATCTCTTCGAGTTGCATTTTCAAAACAGTGCAAAGGAAATTCATATACAATTGTCATTATTTTTACATTTCCAAAGCAGTCTAGTGGGATTTGTACACAGATAATACCAGTAACCAATACTGTGATTTGTCTGCTTAACTCCTACATGGCACTTAGGAAGTTTAGTCTTTAATCTTGAACTATGAATTTTTCATCTGAAAAGTTATTTTATCAAAACTATTTGCTAGGCTTATTATTTGTCATACACTTTGTAAGTCTAAAATACATTTGTTATAGCACTTGAGTCAAATGCAATATCTCATTGTCATTTACTTATCAGAATGGATTAAAAATAAAACAGTAATCTTATTTGCTATTTTACAAATATGGCTTATACCAGTAGGTATGTGGGATGAAGAAATGATTGTTTTCATGACAGAGCTAAAGAGTTTCTTTTCATGTTTTTAACTACTATGTAAGAAGCTACTCCAATATCTCTTGTTTTGCACCAGCCTTTTTACCAACACAGCATATTAACATGAATACCATTGAAAAATTTGAGGAGTAAACCAGACAATTGACAGTATTTAGTTACTACTAGTCTTATATGCAAATTCAATGTTTTGTATTTTAAATAGGCAATATAACCTCTGAAACAATGATGGAAATTCTTCGAGATAAAGAGAGCGGGATTAATATGGAAGGAGGATTTATGACAACTGGAAGTATGGTCTCCATCCTACCTCAGGACCCTAATCTCCCTTGTATTCATTTCTTTACGGGAACTCCCGACCCTGAAAGGTGATGCAATAATTAAAATGAAGAAAACAACTACTGGTCTGGTAGTACTTTAGGGTATGTCTACACTACCACCCTAGTTTGAACTAGGGTGGTAATGTAGTCAACCGGAGTTGCACGTGGAGTAATGGTAGTTCGGAATAGGAAGCCTAGTCCGAATTACCTAGTTCATGCCGCGTGTAGCTGCGGGGCACGGAGTCTGAACTAGCGGACATTTAAAAATGGTGGCGCCCGGCAACATGCAAATGAAGCCCGGGAAATTCAAATCCCGGGCTTCATTTGCAACTCCGGTTAACTACATTACCACCCTAGTTCGAACTAGGGTGGTAATGTAGTTAACCGGAGTTGCAAATGAAGCCCGGGATTTGAATTTCCCGGGCTTCATTTGCATGTTGCCGGGCGCCACCATTTTTAAATGTCCGCTAGTTCAGACTCCGTGCCCCGCAGCATTGGCTACTCCCTGAAGCTTCTTAAGATGAAAAGTTAGCAAATGTTTTCTAAGTTATAGGATGGTGTCATTTAATTGGTTATTTCATTATTATTCTAAAACAACAACCAAAATGTAGTGTGCCAAATGCATAAGTCATCATTTAGGGATTCATTACCTCAATGTACAGGTACAAAATTGATGTAAATGTGGGGAGACTTCATCCACATTTTATCTGAGTAATTAATTTAAAACAAGGCTAAGAGTTATATGAAACCTTTCTCTAGTGGGAGTACAGGGTATAAATGCAGGGAAAATACAATGATGCATTGGCTTGTGCTTTGTACCTTTAATAAAGCTATATCAAAGAATCTGTGTTCTGTTTCCTCTCTCTAGATCTGTTTTTAAGCCTTTTATCTTTGTGCCAAATATTACTCAGTTAGTAAAAACCAGCTCACCAGCATTTGGACCTGATGATCCAGTGAAGAAGAAACCACGGTTTCTCACTAAGCCAGATCGAAGACATGAACTCTATAAGCAACATGAAAGTGCTGCTGTGGAAACCTTCAAGGTACATTCAGTTTCAGGGCAAGGTTCTGATTTGTTGTAATTCATTCCATGCATGGCTTGCGGACGTGATACTACTTACAGCCCTAGTTTACTGGATGGTAAAGAATGTTTTGTGTAGTTTCCTTGTGTGCTGTCTGTTCAGCCTTTAGTCTGCACTCATTGCTGACAGACCACCCTCAATCCTCCAACTCTTCAGACATGGCCAGTCAAATTTCTGTCCTTCTCAGCCTAAGATTCCCAAAGTCTGGAATTGAGCAGACCAAGCTATTCTTTCCATCTCCTGTAATTGCCCCCACACAGAAGGATTGGCCCCTGGTCACAGTTTAAGTATCACAGGGTACAGACTTTTTTTTGTTTCTCTTGGAGGCCCATTGGATGCCACCGATTAAGTGCAATGACTGTGCTCAGAACTGTTTGGAGTTCTCAGCCTAAGATTCCCAAAGTCTGGAATTGAGCAGACCAAGCTATTCTTTCCATCTCCTGTAATTGCCCCCACACAGAAGGATTGGCCCCTGGTCACAGTTTAAGTATCACAGGGTACAGACTTTTTTTTGTTTCTCTTGGAGGCCCATTGGATGCCACCGATTAAGTGCAATGACTGTGCTCAGAACTGTTTGGAGTTAACATCTTTCCATGGTTCTGCCTGAGCTTCAGCTGACCTGTTGAATTAGGAGGATTTTAATTTAAATTAGCTAATGGTACCATGGACTTGTTCTAATAATTATCAATGTGTTCTTCATAAATTGCTGTAACCATTGGCATGTGTAGACCAGTATTAGAATCACCAGTTACAAAAATGCTGAAGTTTTGGAGCTCTTCTTATAATCACCAGAATTCTCTGCAATCAGTAGAGCATGGTTTAAAGTACACTTAGGGTTGGTGCACTTTGGAGCTGGAGCAGATGGGATAGGTGGGAAGGAAGCTTTAAAATTGTATTTGCCTAACATGGTGAGTAGCTGCAACAATTCAGTCCAGGTTATGGGAGGAGCGTACCACCATGCACATTGGGAGAGTGGAGAGGAGCTGTAAGGAATCCAGTTTTGTGTAAATACAGGGATAGAAAGCACTACATTTCTCTGACCACTGCTCTGCTTGTAATATGCCCCTGAAAGCAGAGGATGCGGGAGAGGAACATGACTTTAGGGGTTATAGGTGGGCGATTAATTGGTCCAGCCCCCTCTGCAGAAATATACTGCAGATGTTGCTACCTATTTACCACCACAAGTAGTGTAATTGGCTTCCCTCTAGCTGGGCCCTCCTGCCATCTTCTTTGGTCCAACTGCCAACGATGTGGCATCAGGCCAGTCATTTTTCTGGATTTCCTAAATCTTGTTTCTCCTCTCTGCTGTTTTTCCCTCTCAAATCCACTTCTCTTCCCTACTTTTCCATATCATCTCTAGCCAGGCTCACACACCAATCACAGTCAAGGCGTTCAAAGCATTTTGCTGCATTAGGACAATGTACAGCTCTGCTAGACAGTAGCTGTGTTTACACTAGGAATAGTGGGGGCCCTAATTTCCACCAGCACAGCTAAACTGATGACAGCGAAGGGCAAACATGTAGTCTAAATGGGGCTCAGGCTTTTATCACTGATTTTTTTATGGCTGCTCAGAGCAGGTTAAATGTATACCATGGGTTGACATTACAGTTTTCCTCTTGATACCATCTTAGAGAATTAGAGGCCCCACTTTTTCTCATCTTCAGAATATATTTTATGGGTCAAGACAACTTGCTGCTGGCTTCTAAATGTCACTGGTTTTGGTGAACTAGAGCCTAGGGTTTATTTAAATGTGGAGTCAAAAAATGGATGCCAACCAAAGACCGAACTATTCAGAGTCGATGCACACACAAAAGGCACTTAAGCACAATTGCTGCTGTAATCACAGAATAATTTTTTAGTTATTCCATTCCAACCCCTCAAATAAAAGGTTTGCAACTTGTAAATAGGTGGGGCAAATACTGTACAAGGGAGAGTGCATCTGAGCAAGAACACTATGAGGAACCTACATGAAATGGACAGCATTGATTCCCACTAGTGTCACAAATTGTTATGGACTCAGGTATAAGAATCTAGGCAGAAAGATGATTGACTACAGCAAGACTTTGTTTTAAACTGTACATTGCTGCTAGGTTTTTTTAATTTTGTTTTTTTTATAGGCAAAAAGTAAAGAGATGCTAGAACAGATACGGAAGCTGGAGAAAGAGAAAATTAGCATGATGGAATCAATCCTACAAAATGGATATCTTGATGTTAACCAAGCTGTTAACCTTTTTTCACAGTGTGTGGAAGAGGAAATCAACACATATGCCTAAGAGTATAAATCAAGTATAGTGGAGTTTGGGCTTAGTGATCTTTATTTCTTGTAGTCATGTGACTAAGGATTCAAATCTTACTTTTCAAAAGTAATTTTCCATTCAGGATTAGGTGTTCAGGAGCTTTTAAAAGAGCCCATTGGCCAGCATATATAATGATCGAACAAGAAAGGTTTTCAAAGTAGGGAATAGTTTTGCCTTTAAATGACTCTTGGCTGAGGATAAAGAATTTGACGAGGTGAACGTCAGAACCAAGTTGTTTAACTTAACTAAATATTAAAATGCCTAGTAAGTATTGAAGTGCTTGGTTATTTTAAGATTTTCATTCTGTGCATCTTTGATGTGAGCAACTCACTCTGAATATGCATATAGATTTTGTACTCAAGTTGATCATCACAGCATAATTTCACTGTCTGAATTAAATGGACAAATGAGGATTCTAAAATGGAAAAGCCACTATTATGCATCATTATCCTTTGAGCTCTAATTTATCCAAGTGTACAACTGTCACGAAAACTCTTACTGCTGACAATTAAAATATTTTTTTTGTAAAACTGGAGAGTCATTAGCAGAGAGTCAAAATAAGTATCCTTGCTGTGACACTTTTACAAGAACAAAAATCTCAATTTAGTATTATAACAGGAGATATGTATGTTATACTTGCATTGCATTACTTTCACAATGATGAATGAGAAGCTCATCTTCAATTTAACACACAGTCTGAGTGTGCCTAAAGCAATCTGCCATTTTAAAACCAAATTACAGCTTCAACTTTACAAGTAGTAAGTTGTACTAAAATTTGTTAAAATTGCTTAGACCAGGGGTGGCCAACCCATTTAACAAAGAGAGCCAAAAGCGTGGCGGAAAAAATGCGAAGAGCCGCACCAGAATTGTCAAGGGAAAAAAAGCTCCTCTAGAACAGAATTGTTGAGCAAAAACAAACAAGAATTAAACAAATAAATAAATAAATATATTATATATTTTTTTTAAAAGGAGGCTGCCCCTTTAAGACAGCCGCCATCTTAGGTGCCATTTTTATGCAGGGAGCAGGTACTGGGTTTTTTTTTGGGGGGGGGGGG